ACTTTAATTTACTGTGTATTTGTATTGCCAAGCCATAACTTTTAAATAGATCATTTATCATTACTAAATAGTTGATGTACCAGAACCATAAGAAGACTTTCATATGATTTGCTGTTTAAGTCTATTTAATTTTATATTATTTATACAGTTTAAAGTACTTTTTTAAAAAAAATCAAACTACAAAGAATAAACAAAAAAGAAGTGTATAAAAAGTTTTATTAGGGTTGTAGAAATCAATCATTAAAAATAATCAAAATTATTTTTAGTTTTAGAGAAGATAATATAATAGCGACTTCTTAAAGATAGATATAATTAGGTTATTACCATGCTAACTTCTCTAAAACAAAAATAGCTTTGATTATTTTTAATAGTGAAGCCCTACAATCCTATTAAAACTTTCTATATACTTCTTTTTTGTTTATTCTTTGTAGTTTGATTTTTTTAAAAAAATACTTTAAACTATATAAATAATATAAAATTAAATAGACTTAAATAGCAAATCATACGAAAGTCTTTCTATAGGCACCAGAGCATTATATCATAAATTTTTAGTATACGCATGTACATATATACATTAATTATCTTAATGCAAATTAAGATATAAAAAGTTCAGTTCGGTCTTATTCAACAAGTTTGTATCATCACCCTAGCCTTAACACATATGTATGTACATACATACATATGTAGCTGTATGATGCTATCATGTTGCTTCAAAACTGGAAACATAGTTAATGATCTTTATATTGACAAACTAGTTTGCTCAGTATATAAAGCATTTGATTAGATATAACAATAAGGATTACTTCAAAAAAAATTATATATATGTTACTATAAAATAAAAAGCTTTGCATTATGATTTCATCAAGTAGCTTAGTTTATAAACAGAAAGTACTGTATAATTGACATTTGACTGCTTCAACAACCAGTACATCAGTTATAATACCATGCATAATATGAATAATTATAATCAAAAAAAGTTACTGATACAGATAAAACTATATCTAATAGGGTACCAATAGATATCCCTATTGAAACCAGATTTTGGCACATAAAGAGGTCAATAGGATATTAATAGGTATCGATTAGAATCATATTATTCTGAATAATGCACCAAAATCTGGCTGCAGTAGAGATGTCTATTGGTAGATCTGGCAGCAATAAGAATATCTATTATAACCCTATGATAGTATTCTGTGTAAAGAATTTAGATCAATATGTTAACAAGAATATAGATAAAAATCACCAGATTACTAAGTCCAATCAGAGCAAAAATTATTTCGACCATACTCTGTATTCTACTACATTCCTAGTATATGACCTTGGACTCTCTATTTGAGTCTAAAGTTGATTCAAAAGACCACTTTAGACCAGACTCTTCGTCTCCCTGTATATCATTTACAAAAATCGCACAAATTGCATGATCTAATCTATAATAAAAAGTTGATGAAATCTAATTATTCATGTACTAATCACTACGCAGTATACTCATATTTAGCAAATGAGTTAGTTATAATTATAATTTGATTAATAGCGCATATCTCAATAAGCATGTAAATGAAAGAAAAAAATAGTTGAATTAAAAAACTTAACATGTTGAATAGCATTTGAATTATGCTATTTAGCATATTAAATTTTTTAAGTTTGGCCAGAGAAGTAAAATATATAATGCTTATCTTGTACTAACAAAAATACATAAAATGCAAGTTTCTTTCGATATGGGAAGATAAATGTTTGCATGCACATTGGTCATCAATAAGATTTGAATTTGCTTTACACTTATATTCAATAAAAAAAATGTTTTTCTAATACTAACATGATAAACCTTCAGAACTTTCACATAATTAATATAAGTCAATTCATGAGTATCATAACAATAATTTCAGAGATCTATGAATACTAATATGAAATCACTTGTATTACAAAAACAGAACAATTATTAAATACATGCTAATGAATAAAAGAAACTATTGCTATAATAAAGGAAACTATTGCTATAATAAATAAATATATTATGTAAATAAAAATCAAATGAATTATATAAAAATTAAGCATATTATAAATATAAATTGCTGGCAAGATTTTTACTATTTTATTATAGTACAGCAATATCTTTTGTTAATTTATCTAAAGTTTTCGTCTTTTCAGTATCTCTTGAAGAATAATTAATAATGAAAGCATGTTGAATAAATTTGCATAAGCGATATATAGAATTCTGAGCCTTTAGTTCGACCAGATTAGTAGCATTTAACTACTGACCTAATACGTGAGCAGTTGCAGATTCGTCTACAAAGGTGATAATTTTCTCTTTTTGTAAAGAGCTAGTTGTAAACCTATAATTAATTTTTTAAAAAAAATTAAGTATTAAATAAGAAAATATTTTGTATATAATACTAAAACAACTTTTTTTCTTTAAAATTGTCAACTAAATTCATGACACTATTGACTAATTTGTTTCAGAAGTCTCCAAAATGTCTATTTGCTGTATGAAGCTATTTAATGCCTTCAGTAGAATTGAGCTCGCATTTAAAAACTTTCTGTACCAACTCTTCAAACACACTTTTCTAAGAATTTCACACACAGAGAAAAAGATATTTCAATTCTTCTAAAAAATCACGACACGTCTTTGTTTTATTTTCTTAACTTGGCATAGTATTTAGTCTAGAAAAGTTAGAAGACATAAATTGTGATCCTTCTATGATTTGCATTTGTATTGACAAATGCATATAATTTGCTAGCTGCAGAACTTTAGAGTTCTCATATAACCATAAGCAAAGCTGATAGATCATTATTTCATTAAAGGGGGAAGGAACAACTTTATTGGTTATATCAAAGTGATGGATTGAGTTAGTCTCCACATCATGAGTATCATTTCTCAGAATATTCATTGTATTATTTCTTGATCTTAAAGGTGATATTGGTCTAGACCGTGAAGTATTATTTAAAAAAACATAGTCGAATTGACTATTCGCTCTTGAATTCGAAACTATTTCCGATGCTCTGTTTAAATCAATTCCATTTCTTGATTCTAGAGCTAGCATTGATCTGTAGAGAATTAGACTATCTTCTCTTGAATCAGGTATTGACATAAACCTTGAAAACGCTATTCTATTTGAAGAAATAAAGTCATCTTGGTTACAATTATTGCCTCTTGAATTAAGCATTAACGTGTTTTGACTATTAAATTCTGTTTCCTGTGTAGTTGTAAAGCCTTGAGCTACTGACTCATCATCATTAAGAACATCATTATCATCAGAAATATCATCGTCGTTGAGACCATCATCGTTAGAAATATTATCACCTATAATATTAGAAATATCGTCATTCAAGAACTCAGTAATTATTTGTAATGGCTGAAATACAACACTTTCTTGTTTCTTTTTATGCCCTCTTTTATTTTTACTTGGTATATTATTATCACGATCATTTGAGGGCAAAGATATAACTACTACTTTTTGCTGCTTCTTTGTGCGACCTTTTTTGTACTTCTACTCAGTAAAACAACAGTATTACTCAAGGGATCATTAAGATCATTTAAAGATGAATCAACCACTTCTTTTCTCTTGCAGCCTCTTTTTTTTGAAGTATTGGTGCTTATTTTTTCATTTGCACGACTCTTTGCATTTCTAGAGCTCATTATTATTCAGAAAAATAAAGAGAAAGCTAATCGGTAAAATAAAGAGAAAAAAAATAGTAATATATAATTTGATCATTAATTGTTTTTTTTATAATCAATTGATCAATTAACAATCAATTTACAATTTAAATAAAAATTGCATGATTTTGAAGAACTTATTTAAACCTGCCTTGAAGAACTTATTTAATCTACCTTGAAGAACTATATAACTTGAATTTTACATATCCATATAAGTGTATATACCCTACCTAATACTTTTATCTGTGTACTTTCACCTGTGTACTGACTATATATAGTAATTCTTAATTTAAAAAGAATATAGTTAGAATTAATTTTTGATTGATCACAGATCCTTGTGTAATCGCAAACGATAAAATATTTCGCAATCGTTATGTTTTCTATAAGAATATAAGAACTATATAAGATACCCGCGTGATACATTTTATACATCTTTGAATACTAAAGAATGTAACAATGAAATTTATGAAGAGATGAATAATTATATAATATCAAGCAAGTAATGTCAAGCGAAGAGTCGTTTAATAAAGAAATTGATTATGAAATTACAAATAATTATGAGTTACCAAATGAAGCTGAAATCTATTATGAAGAGTCGTTTAACGAATTATTGAATGATGAAGAAATTTTCGATGATGAAGTGCTGGTGGATGAAGTACTTAATGACAAAGGACTTGACAAGATTGTTGATGAGGCATTAAATATTGAGAAGATGCTATCTATTAGTGGTGAATATATACCATATTTCAAAAGTACAACCGAAGCGTTAATATTCTCTTGGATTCAAAAACATACTATATGTATATATAGAAATTTAATTTATTAACAAAAGTAACTTTTTTTTTTTTTAATTAGTAAATACTTAATTAATATTTATATATATTTAATAGCTACTCAAGCCTATGATAAATTAGTGAACATAATTCACCATCCACAGTTTAGAATTGAAAATATTGTAACAAACATCAGTCGGTTTAGGAAGTATCAGCAAAAGCTACCTTTACTTCTGATTAAAAAACAAAATATTCATATTTTAAATAAAAAAACACTATCTACTTCCAAAAACACTAAGGAAACATATTATCTATCTATTACTGATATCATTTGGCATTCTGTAAATAACTCATCGTTATTTAGCCAAATGTACTTCAGACCAGGTCAGAAAGTCACAAAAAACCAAGAACTTTAGTACAGTGATATATGAAGAGAATCTCTACAATTCAGGCAAGCATCTGTACAAATTAATGGAAGTATGTTACTTATTGTATCACTTGCTTATATTATAGAGGAAATTACATATAAGGCCCAAAAAAATGAAAATAGTTACAAATAAGGCCAGAAATGAAAATAGCTACATATAATTTTAAAAAATTTACAATTAAGGGTCAAAATAACTTCACACTATGATAATGGTTCTTTGATGTTATCACCGTATAGATATATTACTTTATTCATTTTATAATATACTCTTTTCTTAATAAAACTTTTTTTAATCAAGATACAGATAGACTAGATTAAGCATAATATTTATTAATCTTGAAATGTTTATTTGGTTTTAAACTAATATAACTATTCTTAGTAGTGAAGATTACTATGCATTAATCGAAATATTTAGAACCACAAAAACTTAAAAATTGGTACGTAAAAGTAATAATTCTTGTATGCAAGACGTTAAGAGAATAAATGTAATACTGATTAAAGAACAACATATCAAAAAAATTACATTTATATGTTAAAACTTTGAATTTAAATAGTTGAACTCTTGATCGTAATAATTTTAAAATCTGGACTAAACTATTTTAACTTTTATTTTTGGGCCCTTATATGTAATTTCCTCTATATTATATAAAATTTAGAGATGAAATAAAATGTTGGTATCAAAATCATAATATTTTATTTATATTACTAATTTTAGCAGTATACAATTGTGGAGAGTTCATAGTTTATAAAGAACCAATAAAAGAAAATAAATTTGGTCAAATTCTATCGATAGTGAATATAAATAGCTAGCTCAAAGTAATGATTCAACATGTTTTAATATTCAATGAATTACCTAATAATCTGCAAAGTAATATTTGAAGAAAAAGGTCTCATAATGAACTGTGGTTATTAGATCGAGGACTGGATGATTCAATTATAATTATCGAATTACAAAGCATTGTCAGAGTTATCCCAATTGTTATCTTATACAATGAAGACAATATCAATATATTATTTTCTATTTTTATTCGTAAAATTCTTTATAAATATCAAGGGCATTGGAAGTTAAGAAGCGTCAAATATTCCTACAAGCATCCTTCAGAATTTGCATTACTAAAGATACCAGAAATGAACTTTCCAATTTACAAGTTATATATCAATTTTTACTATGACAATTTTGGAATGTACCACAACACCTATCACTCACTTGGGGGTGTATATGTTCAAATTAGAAATTTACCTTTTAATAAAAGGAAACAACTTAAAAATTACTTTGTCATTGGGTTCGTTCCATTTGACGGTTGTTTTAATAATTTCATTGTGCCTTTTATAAATAAGATGAAGAAATTAGAAAAAGGAATCATAATAGATATGCAAGGAAACAAAAGCCTTGTTATTGCAAATCTTGGGGACATGACAGCTGATCTGCCACAAGGAAATGATTTAGCTGGAATTAAAAGACACGGTGCTTTAAGAGAATACCGTACATGTAATGTAATGAGAGATTCTTGAACTTCAGACGATCTCGATTTATCAATAGTTTCCTGTTATCACCATCTTACCAATAGTCAATTTGAAGAAATTTCTTTAGCATCAATATTAAAAAGATGTAAAGAACTTGCTACTGAATATGGATTATATTTACAACCGCCAATACTTGATAGATTAAAAAGAGAGAAACATCTTTAGTTATCACAAGATATCTATCATCTTATAGCCGGTAAAGTGTTAAGATTTTTAAAGATAACAATTAAAGTGTTTTCAATAGAGGGAAAATCAATATTCATAAAATTTTGAAAATCTTTCGAATATCCAAAAACGTGGCAAAAATTGTCTAATCCTATCTCTCATCTTAACAGTTTTATGATATCAGATTGTCTACATCTAGCTATAGTGATACCGTTTATTCTTAATAGATTTTTAGAACCTTTACATTTCAATTTTTCTGAACTTAGTTCATTTCAGCAATATACAGAAGTTTCTCTAAGTGATTTGGCTATAAAGCTTTGGTTGAAATATTAGGTATTAATAGCTAAAACAATGACTATAGCATTTAAACAATTTTTCACAGATGCTGATTATATTGAATTGCACAAATATTTAGATAATGAAAGAAAATTATTTTCACAGATAATTAACTAAAGAGTCCATACGATCACATAATAGAGCATAAAATTGGATTAATTTTTATTAAATTTTATAGTGTTT